GCTGCAGTACAACATGTAGAGAGCTACATGATTCCCATCCCTGGGTTATTGAAATTGGGGATTTTCTCCGTCTTTTATTTTCCTGTAATTTACTTGACTTGTCAAAGTAGGGAGTAAAGGCTTGTGAGCTGCAATGCCACCTTTCCTTTGTTTGTAGCAGGCCGCCTGTGGACAGCTAACTGGTCAAGTCAGAAGGTGACTGCAGGGGAAAGGCTTCACCTGTTGAATTTCTGTTGTTGTTTGTTGTTAACCGCTTTGGACTTGATCTTGACTTAGGGTGACCCTATGGATGAGACATCTCCAAGACCCTCTGTCCTCCACTGCTCTGCTTAGGTCCTGCAAATTCATGCCCGTGACTTCCCTAATAGAGTCCATCCATCCAGCATGCGGCCTTCCTCTCCTTCTGCTTCCCTTCACCTTTCCTAGCATTGGTATCTTTTCCAATAATTCATGCCTTCTCATTATGTGACCAAAGTATGACAGCCTAAGTCTAGTCATCTTGGCTTCTTCCAGGGAGATTTCAGGCTTGATCTGTTCTAGGACCCATTTGTTTGTCTTTTTGGCTATCCACAGCATCCTCAGCACTCTTCTCCAGTGAGGTGATTTTCTTTTTATCTGTTGTCTTCACTGTCCAGCTCTCACATTCCCACATGGTGATGGGGAATACCATAGCTTGGATGAGTCTACCTTTTGTGCTCAGTTATATATCTTTACTTTTCAGGATCTTTTCTAGTTCTTTTATGGCTGCCCTTCTCATTCCTAGTCTCCTTCTGATTTCTTGGCTGCAGTCACCATTCTGGTCAATGTTTCATCCAAAGGAACTCTTTGTTGTTGTTGTTGTTGTTGTGTGCCTTCAAGTTGTTTCTGACTTATGGCAATGCTAAGGTGAACCTATCCTGGGGTTTTCTTGGCAAGATTTGTTCAAAGGAGGTTTGCCATGGCTTTCCTCTGAGGCTGAGAGCATGTGACTTGCCCAAGGCTACCCAGTTGGTTTCATGGAAGAGCTAGGAATTGAATCCTAGTCTCCAGAATCATAGTCCAAGTCTCAGACCACTTCACCACACTGCTTCCACTCAGGAACTTTTTAATTATTTCTACTTCCTCATTGTCTAGGTTGACTTTGTGCAGATGATTTTTGTTTTGGTCATTATTTTTGGTTTTATGTTCAGCACTAAGCCTGTCTTTGCACTTTCTTCCTTGACCTTTTTCAGTAGTTGCTCTAGGTCTACTATGCTCTCTGCTAGTAATATGTCATCCGTATATCTTAGACTATTGATATTCCTTCATCCTATTTTCATTCCTCCTCCTTCTGTGTCCATAAGTGCTCTTCATATAATATATTCTGCCTATACCATCTATACTTGACTATAAATCAGCCTCATGTGTAAGTTGAGGGCAGGTTTTGGGACCAAAACTATGGATTTTGATATGACCTGTGGATAGGTCGAGGGTAAAAATTAGGATCAAGTAATAAAGGATCTAAACAAGGATGAAGCAAAGGAAATAATGCCAAAGAAATTACAAAATTGCAGGAGGCATAGCTCTTTGTGTTCACACTGAAGGATGGATGGATGAGAGAATAGAGGAAGGACAGTGCTTCCAGGGCAGAATTACATTCTTTCCTCTCACTAAGGAATGGTTTCTATTTTTATGAGAGTTAAGGGACAGTACTTACTTTGACCTGTGCATAAGTTGACTCAGATTTTTTGGGTCGATTTTTTGACCAAAATTTCTAGACTGATACATGAGTATATACAGTAAGTTGAGAAGACAGAGAGAAAGGATGCAGCTTTTATCTTTTTCCCCTGAAACAAAAATTTCTGCCTGTAGCAAAAGTGTTCACAGCTAAAACAGCCTGTCATAAAAAAAAAAAACAAAAGGTGCAACTGCTGCTATCTATTTTGCAGAATTAATGCAGTTTGGCGCCACTTTATCTGCCATAGCTCAATGCTGTGGAATTCTGGGGTTTGTAGTTTTGTGAGAGATTTAGGGCCTCTCCAGACGGGCCCTTTGGGCAGCCCTGGAAGCAGGGATGGGGAGGGGCAGCCGCACGCCGGACGTCTCAAGTCCTCCCCAAAGATGTCCTGACGGTGCCGCGTTTTGACGCGCTGCGCCGGAAGGAGCGCTAAAGAGCTGCATGCCGGCTCTTAGGGTGCCTTTTTGGCGGCTATGAAAGGAGCGCCATTTTCCCACTCTTTTCCAGGCCGGCAAAAGGGAGGATCGGGGCCAACGCGTCTGAAAGCCTCGGCCCCAATCCTCTGTTTCCCAGGGCGGCCCAGGGCCCCCCGTCTCCATCCCCCCCTAATCTTCCTGAATTGTTAAGGAATTTGGTTTTTAGTTACAGGGATTTTATTGTTGTAATTTTAAATTGAAGGGAGGGCACTCGAAAGGGTAGGGGTTCAGGGATTATTTTCTTCTTTTATTGCTGTAATTGTTTGAATCTTTGCTGTTACCCGCCTCAATCCTCAACAGGGAGAGTTGGGATACAAATAAATAAATATTATTATTATTATTATTTGGCTGCATCCACACTGCAGAAATATCCAGTTTTGACACTGCTGTAACTGCCCTGGCAATGCTGGGATTTGTAGTTTGTTATGACACTAGCACTTTCTGACAGAGAAGGCTCAATGGGCCTTTACAGACTGCCAGAAATAGTGCACATTAAATTGAGGCACTGCCCTGGCTCAGTGCTAGGGAATCATGGGAATTGTATTTTTTTCTGAGACATTGAGCCTTCTCTGTCAGAGAGCTCTGGTGCCACAATAAATTACAGTTCCCATGACTCCCTAGCACTGAGCCAGGGCAGTGCCTCAATTTCATGTGCGCTATTTCTGGCAGCCTGCTTAGGCCCAATGTCTCACAAAACTAGTTCCCAGAATTCCATAGCATTGAGCCAGGGCAGTTAAAGCAGTGTTAAAACTGAATTAATTCTTGCAGTCTAGATGCAACCAAGGGCTGTTTGAGACCACTTTAACTGCCATGGCTCCCTCCCATGGGATCCTGGGATCTGTAGTCCTGTGAGAGATTTACATCTCTTTGTTACAGGGCTCTAGTGCAGGGGTAGGTAACCTTTTCCCCTTTAAGGACCGAGGGACTTCAGCTCCCAGAAGCCTCAGCCATGTTGGCCAATAGCGCCTGGGATTCTGGGAGCTGAAGTCCCTCGGCCCTTAAAGGGGAAAGGTTGCCTACCCCTGCTCTAGTGCCTCCCCAACAAACTACAGATCCCAGGATTCCACAGTATGGAGCCATGGCAGTTAAAGCGGTCTCAAGCCGCATTAATTCCCCCGTGTGTGCAGATGTAACCTAGGTCCAGGCATGGTTTTGCTAAATTTCCACCAGAAATCTGCAGGGAGCGAGAAACTGGGAACGAATCTATGAGGAGAATGCAAAATAGAACGCCTCTTACGGAAGTTTGTCCCTTTGGCTGTGGTAAAGCGCTAGTGCGCGTGCGCGATCCGAGCTTCACGAACTCTCCTGCGGGAACGTTGTACGCATGCGCTTCATTGGGGCCGCCATGAAAGGGCGTGGCTGGCAGACGTAGCGCGTGGTGGTGTCTTTTTTGGTATTTTATTACTGCGCATACTCGGTAGCGGAATCCTCTCCTCACGTGGGGAGGGGGCTGCGCAGGCGCAGAGAGCCGCCAGTCCTAGGACAGCGTTCGAGTCCGCTGAGGCGAGTTTTGGCGGGGCCGCCATTGCTGAGGGGCCGCGCATGCGCGAGCTCGTCTGAGGGGAGAAGAGAAGGAGGAGAAGAAGAAGAAACCCAGGCAGGCGGGCATTGCGGCGGCGGCGGCCATGGAGAGCCCGGGCCCGCCCTGAGGGGACGCGACGGCGACGATGGCCGCGGCAGCGCCGGCGCCTCCTCCTCCTCCTTCCCGTTCTCGTCCTCCTCAGGCGGGGCCCGCCATGTCGCCGCCGCCGCCGCCGTCGTCTCCGCCTGAGGACCTTGGCCTCCGCGGCCGAGCGGGGCAGGAGCCGCGGCGGCGGCGGCGGCAGTCGGAGGCTGGGGCCCGTCAGGCAGCGCTGTGGGGCCGGGCGCGGAGCCTCTGCCGCCGCCTCCGGGCGCTCCAGGCCCGGCAAGTGGAGCGGCACGTCCGGCAGCAGCTGGCCGGGTTGGCGCGGAGCGTGGCGGCGACGGCGGCGGAGGAGGAAGAGGATCCCTCGTCGTCGTCTTCGCCTTCGCCTCCGTCCCCTCGGCTGCCCCCCTCCCCGGCCGCCCTGGGCTCGGAGCTGCGTCGCCTGGCCGCCTCCGCCACCGCCCGCCTCCGCGCCGCCCAGCGCGCCTGCGACTCGGACGCCACCGACAGCGCCTCCTCCGTCTCCTCCTCGGACGCCTCCTCCTCCTCCTCCTCGTCCTCCTCCTCGGACGCCTCCTCCGGCTCCTTTTCCTCCGGCGCCTCCTCCTGCTCCTCGGCCTCCGACAGCGAGAGCCCCGAAGCCCCCCGGCCGCCCCTCAGCCGCCCCCTCGACGCCCGGTAAGTCCCTGGCAGCGGCGGCCTCAAAGGGCCAGACTCCGCTTCTAGGCTGCCTCGTTCCTCCTCCTGAGGTCCGAAACACACTGCAGAAATAATCCACTTCCAGGCCGCTTTGACTGCCTTGGCTCCCAGTGCTAGGGAATCCTGGGAATTGTGGCTCCTTATGGCCCCAGAGCTCTCTGGCACGGAGGCTAAATGCCTCACAAAACTGCAGCTCCCAGGATTCCCTCGCACTGAGCCAAGGCAGTTAAAGTAGTCTCAAGCTGGGTTATTTCTACAGGATGTTTTGGCCCCTGGTTTTGCACCCAGCTCCCATCTGGATCAATCCTAAGTAAATGCAAACAGAG